AGAGAAAATCAGAAAAGGAGACAGAAAAGTTTAACAGCTAAGTAGAGCATTGGTCACTTAAAACTTAACAGAATTACTCAGAATTAACAAGATTCATTTCATGAAGTCAAGGAAGTACTGAATAAAGTCATAGAAGACTGTAATGACATCTCTGTACCCTCAACTATGTGGACTGTTCTAATTATAAATTTTAAACTTTTAATATAAAAATATTCTTTGAGGCTCCATTTACTCATATTAAGGTAAGTGAAAAAGTATTAGTTCAAAATACTTTTAATATAAGCATAAGGGCCTCTAGATATTTGTTTATACTATGGGGGAAATGAACCTGTACATTCTTCTGGGAGAAAACAAGAACAATAAATATAAAACTTATACTTTAGCTATATTACCTTGTTCCTTTATTCTTCTAAAGAGATATATGAACAAGTAAGCAAAAATAAGTCAACTATATTTATCACATTCTATCACACACAAAATGAAGTGAAATGAGAATTACATGCTATTCCATTATGTTGTTGTTATGTGCCGTGGAGTCGGTTTCCGACTCACAGCGACCCTGTACAGGGTTTCTAAGGCTGTAAATCTTTACGGGAGCAGAACAGCTGGTAGTTTCAAACTGCTGACTGCGGTTCGCAGCCCAATTCGTAACCACTATGCTATCAGAGTTACTTGATCAATTTCTAGATTTGTGTGTAATCACTGAACAGCAAGGTCAGTTTGAGCCACAAGGTCTATGGGGTTCAAACCCATCAGCTACTCCTCAAAAATCCTATACAGCATTGCTCTGAGTCAGAACTAACTCTACAGCACTTAACAACACCCAAATCCATTACTGACAAAGTTCGCTCCCAGAGACAAAGTCGTTATACCAATAAAGATGACAAAATAGAGAAGGCGTGTGGTGCTGAGATTTAATGCGCTGGACTACAAGGTCAGTTCGAGCCACAAGGTTGGCGACTCAAGCCCACCAGCCACTCCTAGGAAACACTATACAGGGTTGCAATGAGTCAGAACCAACTTAATGGGCACCTAACAACAACACATCATTACCTAACTGCAAAACCACTGAGAATCATGGCCCAACTAAAAACTAACTCATAACTTTGCCATCACAGTTATTGTTAGTGTCACCTAAGCAACTGTTACTGCCAGGTGTCATGATGTGCAAAATAGTGACATTTTTATTATTATAGTAAATGCAAATTGCCAGGTTGGTAAGTGAGGGATGGGTAAAAATGACACACAACCTCTTTGAGTAAAGGTATTTACTTAAAATATATAAGTCACTTTGAACTGTAAGGTCAGCAGTTCAAACTTAGCAGCTGCTCCTTAGAAACCCTATACAGAGTCACCAGCATCTGAACCAACTCAATGGTACTTAACAACAAAAACAAATCTTAAAAAAAAAAAAATCTTACATGGTCTAAGAATATTAGGGAAGTGCACTGGCTCCATACGATAAGAACTGGACTGCTAACCAACACAGACCACGTATCAGCCTGGCACCTGCTCCACAAAGGATGAAGATTTCTGCTCCAATGAAGATTTACAGCCTCAGAAACCCTATACAGGGTCACTGTAAGTTGAAGTGGATATGACAGCAAAAAACATCAAAGAAGAACCTTAAGGTTTTTGTGCCTACTATTTTAATGCGTTCAGCAAACAAAATGACTAATTTACATTAACATCATTCTATAAAAGTACTTCACATAATTCATGTCTCTGCAATCAGTGGATAACTGCAGACAAGTTCTCTCAGTAATATACTTACTTATCTGTCAGATAGGGTTGTTGTTGTTATTAAGTGCCACTGAATCGATTCAGACTAATATCAATACTGTATAGGGTGTCCAAAGAGCAGCTGGTGGGTTTGAACTGTTGAAGATATGCTCACCATGGAATGGTCACAATTCAAAATCAAAAGGGCAACGTTTTCCTAGGGACAAAGTTGAGCAGGGATGGGAAGCCGGGTGGACTACAAACAGCAACCACAGTGAGGAGGCTGGATAACTTGTTGCATGGTGGGAATTACAATCATTGAGATGAAACGAAACAAAGCCTACGATTTGTGGAATGTCAAGTTGATGATCTTGTCTGTAAACCGTGACTCAATTCACAATAAAAAGGTTTTCTTTTTTTTAAAAAAAAAAAACAAAACTTTTTTGTCATGGGTAAACACAATTTTGTGTTAGTAACAAATTGTAAACTAAACCAAAATGGACATTATTTTGTCAACTTTGTTTTTGCTTAAAATTTATTATTTTAAAGAGTACCAAAACTCTGCAATAAACTTATGGGTTTGCTAACCACATAAAACAAGTCTCTGGATGGATGAAAGTGAATTAAGAAACTGTGACTTAAGTCCAAAAACTGGTAGAAGAATCCAGAAGTACCACTAATGCCATAAATACTGGTGTTGGGCTCTGGCATGGCTCAGCATTTTTTATTTTAAGCAATCATGTTGGCCTGAGCAAGCTTTCAGCTCAATGGGTACGATTTACAGCCTTGGAAACCCTGTTCAGGGTCGCTATGGGTCGGAATCAATTCGATGGCACTTAACAACAACAGAGTGATCAGCTTTTCTCTGCAAATACAACATTTTTTGCAAAATTAACAAAATAATGGAACAGCAAGGCATGAAGATGAGGGAAAGAGCATTCTCTATGGAAAGGAAATTAATGTCTCTGAGACAGGGAAAGGTTGGCAATGAATTCCATTTTAGCATAAATGATTTATCAAAAGCATGCTGAAAAATATTTTACGACATAAAACTATGTTCCATGATTTTTTTCCATTGTCTTTGTTGATTCAATCCCCCACTCAAAACTATTTTCAAGGTGACATGCAGTAGTTCACAGCACCACACAATAAGCATCAGAAGAAAACAAAGTTACTAGGAACAAAAGGATTTAATGCAATACTTCACTAAAAAACTTACACTGAATCCAGTATGAAGACTTAGGATGAGCAAGAACTGTCTCTTGTGTAAATTGAAGGAAAAGCACGCTAATATGGCAACAGATAGTGACTATTACAGAATAAAATATAGCAGATAATGACTATTACAAAATAAAATACACCACATGAGTAGAAAAAACTCAATACTGTTAAAATGTCAATATTCCCAGATTGATCTGTAGATGCAAAGCAATCCCAATCAAAAGAATTGTTAGAAATTCACAAAATAACTTGGAAAACTTAGGATAAACAAACTGTAGTTTTCCTATAAGAACAGATATAATAATCAGTTACGCAGAACAGACTCTAAATTTTTCTATAAAAGCACAAAGGTAACAATGAGAAACCATAATCGTTCCAATTTATAGGTGAAAACCACTAGATGTTTTTGTTAAGTGCTGTTGAGTCATTTCTGACTCACAGCGACCCTGCACTGCATAGGGTTTCTGAGGAGCGGCTGGTGGGTTTGAACTGCCAACCTTGCAATTAGCAGTCCAGTGTTTATCACTTCGTTGCCACAACACCTCAAAGAAACATGAGAGACGTCTCTAACACTAAGAACATTCAAATGAAAAAATTTAAAGACTGAAAGTATTAGTAAGGATGTACAATACCTGGAACTCTCATACATTGTTTTTTGTTGTTGTGGTTAAGTGCTGTACAGTCCGTTTCAACTCACAACGGCCCTGTACAGGGTTTCCAAGAAGCAGCTGCTGAGTTTGAACCACTGATCTTGCAATTCAGTGCTTACCCTACACAACTCCATACACTGCTAGTATGAATATAAAATTGTACAGTTGCTATATAGCAAACAGTTTGGTAGTTTCATACAAAATTACACATATAGTAATTCACCCTTAAATATTTATGTCACATGCACCAGAGATGTAGGCAGAGAAAATGACGTGGAGAGATGGAGTAGCTGGGAACTCTAGACACATGGAGGGAGAGGGGCTGTGTGCTGGCGGACAGGGGCAGGCTTACAGGGTATGCCCTTTGGGTGTCTGAAGGATTGAGTATTCCTGAGTGTTTTGGTGTACATCAAAAAAAAAAACAAAAACAAACACAGGAAATAGAAGCAAATACTGTTGAATGATGATGAATAGAAGGGATTGTAATCATTGCAATGAAACGAAATACAATAGGACATAAACTATCACTCAATTCACAATAAAAATATTTTAAAAATAATAATTATGTCACATGTAAGCATACTTTCCAAAATAAACAGTGTTAACAGTAGCTTTACTCACAATAACCAATAGTTAACATCAACTCAAATGCCCACCAATACGTCATTGGACAAAATGTGGCTCAGTGTCCACATAATAGAGTATGATTCAAGCATTAAAAAGAAGAAGAAAAAAAAATACAGATGCACCAACAATAACGAAATTTCATAAACAAACTAAAGAGGCCAGACACAAAAGAGTATACACTCTATGATTTCATCTGTAGGAAATACTAAAATAGACAAAATCTGTTAACAGAAAGCTGATCAGTATCTGCCTAGAAAGAGAACGAAAGAACTTTTGTGGGATACTGGAAATGTCCTATATCTTGACTACAAAGGTGATTAACATGAGTACATACATTTGCCAAAACTCATAAAGTTCTACATTTAAAATTGCATCCACTTCATGTAATTATACCTCAATAAGGAGTCCGGGTGTGGTGATGTGGGATAAAGCACTGGACCCCAAGGTGGGTTTGAAACACAAGGTCGACACTTAACAATATACCTCAATAAAATTGATTAAAATTCTTCAAAGATAATTACTTCTTTCTTAAGGTAAAATTTTCATTTGCACATAGTAAGGTAAATGAATTATCATTCCTAAGATTCAATGTTGAATCAATGAACTGAAGTTTGGAAAAAGTACGACTCCTAGCTTAAATTATTTAAATTCTTTGAGTATTTTTTAACACTTACTTACCAGATGTCACTAACAGTAAGAACTGCAAAGACAGAATTCCAGAACAGAAAGTAGCCCATATGCAACTATACACAGAAGAATGATAAGAAGCTTAAAACTTACGTTGTTAGCAAGAATGCTCCATCACCACATCTTTCAAGAGCCTTTCGTGCAGGAGGCTTTGCTGCAAATTCTACGAAACCTTTTCCTGTAGCTCTACCACGATCATCCACAACCACAACAGCTTTCTCTACTGGACCAAACTGGGAAAATGCTTGTTCTAGAAGTTCATTGGAAACAACTGGAGAAAGGTTCTTGACAGTTAAGGCTGCCCCATGTGTAGCAAAGCGAATTCGGAGAGGTCTGCTCTTCAAAATGGTGCCATCCAACTCTGCTTTTGCAATTTCAGCCAGTGTTCTGGATTCCTTTATAGGAGGAAAAATTTATTTTTTATAGTTGATAGTAACACAGCTAATTTATAATAGTAGTTTGTTTCTAAGGAGGAGAAATAGGTAGCTTTTAGAAATGGCTGATAGGCCACTTTTTTGTCTTTCAATTTTGTCAACTGCAATTTATTAACCATTCAAAAATACTTTTAAACATTTTAAGTAGAAAATTGTAACTCCATTGCCCTGTTCAAAGCCATTGCTTAAAGATTAACTGCTCAAAAACAAACAAAAAAGGTAATAATATATTCAAAGCACTATCATTCTTAAATTTCCTACTTACATTAAAAATAATCATTATTTTTAAAGAACAAGTACCAATTATGTTTCCCCCCTATTGTGCGTCAAGTTGATTCCAACTCAGCTATCCTTTATAAGGTTTTCAAGGCTGTAAATCTTTATGGGAACAGAAAATCTCATCTTTCTCCCAGGGAGCTGACAGATTCAAACTACTGGCCATGTGGTTAGCAGCCCAACTTGCAACCCAATATACTACCAGGGATACTTAACAAAGGATAAGCAGTTATACATAACAACTCATGTAATCCAAACAAACCTGAGAGGGAGATGTTAGAAATGGACCCTATATTAAAATGCTTTCAGGTGGCATTAGAAATGGGAAAGCACAAGATGTAACTTTATGGCTTGATGACAATGGTATCTTGTTAGAGTTTAAGTTAAAGACTATGCATTTGTCAAAAACATCAAATGGTCCTTTTAAAATGCACATTTCATTTTATGTAAATTTCAAACCCCCTCAAAAGAAGTATTGGATAACTAGATTCTAATCAATGACAAGCATGCTGTAGTTGTTTAGTAATCACAAACTTATGGATAGAAAAAGAAATATATACTATGCTGATAACTGTCAAGGTGGTTTAGACCCATAGCAACCCTGTTATAAGGGCTTCCAAAGATCAGGCGGTGAGCTTGACTTTGAGGTTGAAAATTACTTTGCAGTCCTGTGCATTAACCCACAGTGCCACAACAGGACTCTAGACAGCCATATTTATTATTAAGTGCTGTCAAGTCAGTTCTGACTCATAGCAACCCTAAATAAATAAGGTTTCCGAGGAGTGGCTGGTGAGCTCGAGCCACCAACCTTGTGGTTCAAACTGACTTTGCAATACAGAGCTCATTAACCAGCAGCACTACACTGGGGCTCCAGAGGGATATATTGTTGTTAAGTGCCATCAAGTCGGTTCTGACCCACAGCGAACCTATATAGGGTTTCGGAGGAGCAGCTGGTGAGCTTAAACCCCTGCCCTTGCAGTTCAAACAGCTTTGCAGTCTGGGGTATTAACCCAACAGCACCATACCAGGATGCCAGGGGGATATATAAATAGGTGAAAAAAATCAAATACAATTATAGAATGCAGGTATATATACTGTTCATTTCTCTAAATTCTAAAGTTTTCTTTTAAAAAAAAAAAATGGGAGCAAGGTGCAGGCTATTATGCTCCCAGCTCTCCTCTTTCCCTTTGGCAGGTGGAGGAGGCTGAAACGCTGCTGGGGGAGCACCCCCTTCCTCTCCCTCCAGCTACCTCCCCTCACCCTCTCACGCTGAGCTGTCTGGACTGACCCCAGATGCAGGACTGTCCCAGCCCGGATATGGCCCATGGGCAGAAGATTCAGTCTCAGCAGAAAAATGTTGAAAAGCAAGCTGGACAAAAGAAGGAACAAGGACATGACCACAAGGCGGCTGCCAAAGCTGCTTTAATATATACCTGCATTGTCTGTAGGACACAAATGCCACATCCTAAGACCTTCAAGCAGCACTTTGAGAGCAAACATCCCAAGACTCCACTTCCTCCAGAATTGGCTGATGTTCAGCACAAAGTGTTTACAGGTGAATTCATGACACCCTTGACTCTTCTGTCTCAGACCTTAGATAACAAACCTGAAACTGCTCTCCTAACAATCTGTTGATCAGGAAAAATAAAGGGGCTACAGAAATACTCATTTTTCTGCTGTTCCCTTATGGGCTTCATGCAAAGACAATTCTGTGTAAATGTACAGTTGACTCTGATTTAGAAATCTGAAATCAGTCCGTCCTTGTTATGAAATTTTACAATTGTAATTATAAAATAACTCATTTAATAAAGTAGTACTTTGATTTTACAACAACAAAAAAAAGGGGAGACAGAGAGGATGACTGGTAGAACCAGAATGTTTCTATAGAACACTAACTGGCTGTACAGCTGAGGAAGTCTCAGGGTAGGTACCAAAGGACCTCTTCTGATGCTGTGGGGTAAGTATTGCACTGTTAACCACAAGATTGGCAGTTCAAACCTACCAGCCACTACACTGGAGAATGATTAAACTTAACCAATGATTGGACTATCTACTCCCATGAAGATCTGCAGTCTCAGAAATCCTATTAACAGGATCACTATGACTTGAAACCTACTCGAAAGCAGTGGGGTTGGTTTGAGATTGGGTGGTGTAAATGGTTAAGCAGTCAACTCCTAAAATTTTTGGTTTTGCTATTCAGATTCAGTCAAATATAATGTAAATTGTCAATTTTTATGTTAAATCATCTTATTTTTTATTGATGGCAGCCAATTCAAGTTTTAATGCTGTTTAAACATATGAAATATGTTTATATTGGGCAAATTATTTTACTAGGAATCATTTTCCAAAGCTTGTACTTTTTTCATGCTATTACTGTTGTTTTTTGGTTTTTTTTTGAATCCTGGGGTGGCACTGTGGGTTAACACGCTGAACTGTAAAGTCACTTTGAACAGTAAGGTCAGCAGTTAAGCTAACCTCAGAAACCCTATACAGGGTCTCTATGGGTCAGAACTGACTGGATGGCACTTAACAACACTGTTGTGTTAGAGCCATCGAGTTGGTTTTGACTCATAGCGACCCAGTATAGGGTTTCTGAGGAGCAGCTGGTTTGAACTGGGTTTGAACCGCCAACCTTGCAATTTGCAGTCCAGTGCTTATCCTTGTTATTAAGTGCTTCGGAGTCAGTTCTGACTCATAGTGACCCTATATATAGGGTTTCCGAAGAGCAGCTGGTGGATTTGAACTGATGATCTTCTGGTTTACATTCCATTGCTGATCCTACAGCTTCACACTAGAAGTCCAGGGCTACCTACCATCAAGGTTTCTCAATCTATGCTCTATTGCTACTGCTGTTCCAATTAATGCATGCAAAGGTTTATTCCAAACAAACAAATGTGTTTAAACCCGTTTCTGTCATCAATGCACTGCTGCAGACAAGTTCTCTCAGTAGTACATTGTCTTAATCTCTCATTTTTAGGGTGCCTTCAAAACAAAGGTCCAATGAAAACAGTGGCTTCCTTCTGCTGAGCTAGATAAGATTCAAGTGGTCAGCTCAGAAGGTTATGGCAACTGTTTTGTTAATTTAGATTGATAATCTTTATAGGCTTTCTCAAAGAAAACATTCAGACAATCCGGGAGAGCCTTTATCTGCATCCCTTCATATTTCTCTTTGATCTTATAACTCAAAAAGAACACAATTTGAGTACCTCAAAGATGCCAAAAGTGCTATTCTGATGTAGTGTAAATAGAAGAGTTCACAATTCTTTGGGGAACGGTTAAGAGATGGAAACACTGCCATCACAGATAGACCTAGATACTGAGGAATGTTGAGACACAATAGTTTCACACTTTGAAATTTTTGTTTAATAAAAGTTTCTGTAAGGAGCCCTGGTAGCATAACGGGTTAACACATTGGGCTGCTAACAACAGGTCAGCAGTTCAAATCTCACCAACAGCTCCTTGGGAGAAAAATGAAGCTTTTTGCTCCCATAAAGATTTACAGCCTCAGAAACTCTACACAGGGGTCTCAGTGAATTGGAACCGACTTGACTGCACACCTCCTACACCAAAGGGGGTCTATGATTTTTAGAGCAATATTTTTTTACTTACCCTCATTTATTTATGGGCAGATTGCTCATTTTTTGAGTGGTTACCCCATACATGGAGTCCTGATGTGGCGCTGTGGGTTAATACACCAGACTGCAAAGCTGTCTGAACTGCAAGGACGGCAGTTCAAGCTCACCAGTTGCTCCTCAGAAACCCTACACAGGGTCACTATGGGTTGGAACCAACTCAATGGCACTTAACAACATCCCATACATGAAGTCCTGGTGTGGTGCTGTAGGATAAGCACTGGACTGCTAATCACAAGTTCAGTGGTTCAAATCCAACAGCTGCTCCTTGGAAACTGTCCACAGGATAACTATGAAATGGAAATGACTCTACGTAACAACATGCTGTGCATTCATTGTAGACTGTTTCAAAGGATTCCTGGCCTCTATCCACTAGACACCTGTAGAATCATCTCCAGTTTTGACAATGAAAAATGTCTCAAACACTGACAAGTATTACACAGGAAGCAAAACTGTCCATTAGAGAACCTCTGCTCTAAATGTATACTGAAGTATCTCGTCTAAGAATCACTTTTTTAAAGTCTAATTACTAAATGAAAATCAATTAAAATTACCTTTGAAAAAAGACCAAAGAATTCTTCATGCTTCAGAAAATAACATAAAGATAAAACTTTTATTAAATTCAGACAGAGGTACCTTGGGTAGCACAATCAGTTTATACTCAACCACTAATGAAAAGGTTGTCAGTACAAACAGCAATTCCTAAGACAGACTTGGAGACCAGAATCCACAAAGTTTATAGCCAAGAAAATCTTGTGGAACCCAGGTCTACTCTGGGAGCCACCCAACTTTGACGGTAAGAGATTTGGGTGTATCTGTTTTGTTTTGGAGGTGGAGATGTTATGCTACACACAAACATATGTACACAATTATCCTCACCACCAAGCCTACTAGTGTGGTTTCACTGCTATCTCTACATATGGGAAAACAGGTCTAAAGAGGTTGAACAACTTGCTCAAAATCACATTGCAAGAATTCACAATCTCTAAGTGAGGCAGAGGTAAATAATGATGTATGCACAACCCTGGAACTACAGGGCTTTGGGATACAGGGATTGAGACATGGAAAGGGGGGGAAAATGTTAAGCTGCTTGGCTGTCTTTTGAATCTTGGTTTTCCTTGCACTGTATTATAAAATAGAAACTGGAGGGGGAGAGAAAGGAATAGCCAGAAATATCACCACAGAAAGCTTTTATAAGTCCGTCTTCTGCCTATAACTGATTGGAATACCTAAAATGGGGCTACAACATGCCCAGTGAAGGAGGCTTCCTGCGGAGCCTCTGAATTACAAAAGACTATAGGTGGAATCCTGAACCACATCCAGAATTTTCAGAGATGGGAAATTTCCACTTGAAAGTATGAGCAGACCAGCCTGGAGCAGCTAGAACACTTCTATTTCAAGTACTTCAAGATACTTCTTGCAAGAAAGACCTACAGGAAAAATACAAAACAATATAGGCAGACGGACTGTGACTATTAAGAACACACAAGTTGCTTGCCCAGTAGCCAAGTGGTTGGGTCCCCTCAGAGCAAACCCCCTTCCAAGACTAAGACTCAGTGGGAATACACGTTCTGATTGGTGACCACGCTCATCATTGATAAGGGAACGTGAGGGAAAAACAGCAATGAGGCTGCAAGCTAAGCCCTACAATGTTCAACAGACTCCTGTGAACCCGGGTGGAGACCTGGTTGGCCAGCAGTGTGGCCAAGACCTGAGGACTCTTGGGTCCAGATTCAGTGACATAGCCACAGAGGACTAGAGTGGAGAGTGAAGAATCCAGCTGATAAGAAGAGAGGGTATATGCACAAGAACACCCACACTCAGATAATACCCACTTGACCTGGCTTCAATGACTCAATGATCAGAGCTCAACTAGAAGAAGAAAGAAGAAAAAAAGAGTAATCTGATACAATTTGATGAACTTGACCTACACCTATGGATGCAGTAGCTCCAAAGAGGGAACAAATCTTTACAGCAAAGATCATTCCCACCCCCTCCATACACATAGTAGACAGGGATGGGCAACTTGGACATTGGCTACCCAAAGTGGGGGGGCTACAAAGGCAAGAACTGACAGGCTTACAAGCTTTCAAGAGGGAACCTAGATCCAGACAGCATGGAGGAAGGTAGAATCTCCAGAGCAGTATCCAATCTGTCTAGGCGGGGCTGTTGAAATGAAATGCGGATAGGTCTCTTACCATACAATAGTGAACAATTGTTATCAGGACTGCTTGTGAGGGTTGGAAATGTACAGGGAGACGTTTTGTAGCAAGGAGGGGAGTGATTAACTTTGCAGTCTAGGAGCGGAGATCCCTGGGACCATCAAGGGAGAAGAGTGGAGAGCAGGACCCTACCCATGCCTGAATGGAGGCAGAGATGTCGAGAGATGGAGCAGTTGGGGACTTTAGACACAGAGAGGGAGAGGGGCTGTGTGCTGATGACCGGGGACAGGTTTGTAGGGTATATCCTTTGGTTGGTTGATGATGCATGGAGGGGACTGTACCCATGGCAATGAAATGATATACAATAGGATGAATATAAAACTAATGTTCTCCCACGTAAACTATCACATAATTCACACACAAAAATTTTTTAAAGTGCTATGATTATTACAACTCTGTATCAAAATATAAAATTAAATTTTTTTAAAAATTCACTATCTCCACCAATCCTTTCTTCTAGGTGTTGTCACCACATCACTCTGCACAAAAAGTAAAACTATAGGTTCTCAGGAAGTGGAAAGGATAACAAGAAACTGAATAACTCCCCAGGTGACTACACAAACTAGAACCCAATGACGTTCACTTCAGAGTGTTTCAAAAACACCTGAATTGTTCTGTTTACTAAAGGCTTAAAATTGCCAGTGTATTGTTATGAATAGAATTATGTCACCCAAATAATTCTAACCCCTGTAGCTATGAAT